CCCACCACTTCACCTCTAGCGTTGAAAAAGCTTCAGTCAAGAGAAAGTTTTTGTTAAACTCAAAAACTATTTGGTAACCCCTCCTCAACTCTCATTTCAAGTTGCTATCCAAATTTTCTTATCATGTTGCATCATAACGCCAAAGTATAGTCCTTCTCCTCGAGACACGGACAACACTAAATGTACACAATAAGGGCACAACGATTGGCACTGGTCATTTGCAACGATTGGTTTGGGTCGCCTACCATGATTGGCACGATTCTCCATGGGTGCCCACCACGACCAATACTGCCTGCCTGTAATAATCGACACAGTTTTCCATGATCGCTCGCCATGATGGTGCTTCCTATATACCATGATTGGCATGACTCTCCAATAATTGCTTGCCCAATTGGTGTCGGTAATAACATGACTTAAAATCACTTGCCTAGTAATATGATTACCAATAGAAAACTATGGTCTAAACCTTAATTTTTCTCTTGGTAAGAGGGCAATTGATGGATCCCATATTTCACCATCTACCACCATATACACATTGGTAAAAAGATAAAACAAATGAACCCACTCAAAAATTCCTCTAAACATAAGTATTTGGGAATGATCTTGGTTGATGGGGTTTTCTCTTACTCCAAAACAAGCAAACCATCATCCTTACTACAAGTATGCGTGTACACATAAGGTCAAGGTTCAATTATGTTTATTTGTAATCACCTCCCACCACTTATATGTGGCTAGAGAAACAAGTGCAATTAACTCATTCTCTCATCCACGTGGCTTTAAGGGAGAAATCCAAAGTTGAGTTTTTTGTCTTCAATTCCCCATCAGAAATTACCTACCTCTTCCACTTGTCCATATGATAACAAGCATTCATCCCTATTTGCCAATTCACCACCCATGGGAAATAAGGTGGCAATCTTGGGTTCATTTCCCTTTGTTTCATTGATTGAAACCAAGCTTTTACCACCATCAACTCAAGCCCTCTTCATTCCACTTACTCCACGTGGATCAAAAAGAGGGAAGTGTAATTGTGCCCTCAAACCACCACAACCTCCCACTTCCCACACTACTTATATGAGATTTAAAAGGAATATGGGAGGTAAGTTGTTTCCTGGTCTTTCTTCTACATATTAGTTAAGTTATTAGCATGTGTGTTTGGTGCATTTTATCTACACTCGCCAATAATTGCACTTAATTTGATCGGTTGGCGGTGATTTGATTTTTTACACCTGACCATCCATTGCACATTGGGTGGTTGGAAGGTAGATATATTTTTATATTTTTCACACGCCATCCACGCCAGAAGCAGGAGGCACCTATAAATAGGATTTCTCGACAGTTTATTTTCGGGTTGAACTTCTAAATCTCTTGCTAGAGCCGGCTAAATATGTTGCTCCTGGTTACTCTCCTCACAAATACTGACTTGAGCTTCGGAGAAGGTCCCCGCTGACCACTGCCGATGGGTTCCTCTTTTGCAGGTGTCCGTCTCGGAGGTTGGTGACAGACGTTGGTCAGGAATTTTGGCCCTCACTGGACCTCAAACACATTGAAGCAGACTTCTCGGAGCTTGGCATCAACAAGTATGAATGTAATTTCCCTTTATCTAGAACTCCGAATCAGTTCTAGGTCTGTTTCTTTCATAGTATTCTTCAATTTTCCTTCATCACCTCCTGGGGTTAGGGTTTCAATTGGGCCGCTTTGTTGCTTTCTTCTTCTGCAGGTGATACATTTTGCTTTCTTCTTCTTCAACTTTTTCGCAGTTTTAGTTCTTCCACTGCTGATTCTATAGTGAAAACAAATTTTGTTTCCTTTATGTCCTTTTGGAACATACAGAACTATTCCAAAGCAGTAAGGCAAGGTTTCAAATTCCACTGCAAAGAGACTTGCATGAATAGTTTTTACAAGCAATTCACTAAAAAAAGCTTTCTTCATTTGTTCCTCTTCCCTTTAAATTCCCTAGGTAGTGTTATTGAAATTTGTTCAAATAAAAGTCCATGCTTGAATGAATTAAAAACATATCAAATTATATGAGTTGAAGTCATTATATCTTTAAAAAATTGTTATAGTCGTATCTATTTGTGTCTTAGTTTAATGGTAAGAGAGCACGTTGACGATGGATCATAGTGGTATGTGTGAGAATATGTTGAGTTGATTTACATTAGCTCCTGCTATATTGTCGGTGCAGGGGAACTGAAATTGTCATCACCCAGTTCCACCATCCCTTATGACAACCTGGATTTGAATGAACTGAACTGTATATGGGAAAGGTTCTACTTCTATAAATATGAATTTTGGTTAGCTAATATCCAGAACAATTTCATATATTAATTTTTGTTTTATCTATAGAAGGATTGTTGTCGATGCTTCAATTGAATTTCTGGAAGTTTATAAATACTACAGTTCTATATTTCTCGCACGTGAAAGTTGTTGCAAGTTTAAATATTTTGTTCTTTCATGTCTCAGGATGGTGAGTCTGGGATTGTTGACTTGTGGGAAGGTGGCGCCAGAACTCGGCATGGATCAAAGTCTCATTTATATCTATCTACTCGGTCAATCTTGAGGGGAAGGTGACATCAAAACTCAGAAGGTGCGTTCTCCTCCAATGTGATTCAGGTTCTCCTAAGGTAATAGTCTGGTCATTATTCATTTGTGGAACTGCAATTTGTATGACAAAAAACATAGAATTGGGCCATATTGTCTTTGATATTCATTGAACTTGAATAATAATTTGGAACTGGTGTCACCCATAAGAACATTACTAACTAAACATGAAGCTACTGAATCAGTTAATCTACAAATGAATAATGACCATGTAGATCTACTCATGTAATGGTCTTAGACTGGGATTCAACGACTCCCCAGTTCATCTAACACTTTACCAGTATATGATTTTTTCAATTTCCATGCATGTTGTGGATCACCAATTTCTTAAGAGCTTTGATCTGGTCATTATCCATTTGTGGAACTACAGTTTGTATATCTATCTACTCATATTCTTTTGTTATATCCGTGAAGATCTACTCATGTAGTGAACTGTGACATGAAATTTTGAAGGGTTGAGTGAAAAGTGTTTACAAATGGACTTTAGTATATGAGATTTCGCCAACCATGATAATTAGCCAATACTCTTTGTATTGTTTACATTTTCGATTTAGATTTTCTATCGTAATATATTTATGATAAACCAAGTAGAAGCTGGATGAGCTAGAAATATAGTCAAGGATGCTTTTTGGTTTTTCAGTTACCAGCCATGACTATACATATCAGACTGCTTCAATTTTTTTTCTTTCTGTTCTGTGCTAATTCATTGTTGGTGGCATAAATGATTTATGTTTTACTCATTACATGCATTGGCCACAACATAATAAGGTTTACCTGATGCAACTTTTACTCATTAGTTTAGGCTACTACTATGTTGTCTTTGAGATTTTTGCTGGAATATTTATTCCCTATAAATAAATAATGTTACATGTTTCAGGGATGCTGTCATAGTTTTGTAACCATTTCATTTGAACTTTGCATATCTCATCAAATTTTATGATTGGTTTTCTTGCTAGCGTCATCTAATTTAGTTTTCGTTCTTTCTCCAATGTTACTATCTCAAGTTCATTTTCTGTGGTGCTCTACTGGATTTTATGGAATGATTAGAACAAATGATATTCGGAAAGCAGATACGAGAAGCGAATCCACGATGAGTCCAGGAAAGTTGGAGTTGAGTCAAGGTCGGTTTGCAAAGACCACTGATCGGAATCGAGAGTTTGTTGAACCAATTAATGGTTATGGTTGGTAACTATTCTCGTCCTTTGATCGTTAAATTAAGAGCTCACTTTAGGGGTGTTTCTATAATGGACTAAAGGTAATTGAAGGGAAACAGTCTGCAAGCATGTGTTTATAAGTGAGGATGAAATTGACATAACATCTCTTTCAAGTTGTAAGGCAGAAATTTATAGAAAATCCCTTCCAGTTGGGAATGGGGGGATACATATTGGGAATAGGGTTGGGGGAAGTCATAATAGGTTTGACCTTCAGGATGTTTGAGATTTTAACATATCTCGTATCTTCTACCTTCAATTTAAAGTATGGAGGAGAAAAAATGTAACAGCTACTGCAACTATATAGTAAAGTGGAGCCCAACTTTGATTAAAGCTCAAGTTGAGTAATATTTCCATGCAAATCGCCATACCTTCTATTGTAATATTTTGGCCATTTTCCTTTCCTACCATCTTTTGAAAGTACAAAATTTTACTCTGTAGTCACTTGGCCAATTAGTCCAAGGTCTGCAGAAGAAAATCCAGATGGCCAAATGTGTGGATTCTTTACTTATAATATTTCCAATTGGGTGCAATGGTATGGCCTTTTCTGTGGTAGTTAATGGACCATTTGTCATGTTGTGAACCAGGTTGTCATGTCTTTCCCCTGACTAACATGTTGCCTCTAGCATGGATAGCGTTCCAATGGGTACTGATGGTAGCATGGCCAGTGTTGGAGATGAATTTGTTTCCTCTTCTTTAATCTATGATTTAGAGTATATACAAAGAGTTTCAAGTAAATATGTTCATACGTAAAATTAGAATGATTGATTTGATCATAAGGAGATTAGTTTACGCAGAAACAAGAAACTAAATTACGTTTTTACAGAATCATATGCCTATAAACCATCCTCGTTTCTTCTTCCTCGGTCGGTCGCCCATAACCATCCTCTTCTACTCCCACTTCGCATCACATTCCTTGGAAAAATCTGAAACGGTTTTCTTTCCATGTATGGTGTCCTTACTTGCTACTGCCTCTCAAGAAGTTCCTCTCCTCATCTCTACTTCCTAACAACTTGTGCGTGGTTAGCCCGATACGGGAGCTACTTCAGCTAGGTTCTGAACCTGATGGACCAGGTCACGGAAAATCCCCTCTTCTCCACGAAGAGAAACTCCATAGGAGGGTCTGGCGAGGGTGGGACTCTAGCGAGATTGAGGAGGATCTATCGATTTTGACACAAATCCAACATACCCAGGTCCATAAAGCTTGCAAGCACAAATGTTATCAATTGCTCCATCACTGCCATATATCCTGAAACCTGAATGCTCCAGCTTGGATCCCCCAACAGTAGCAGGGCCATTGACAAGCTACACCAGCATGGTTGGGAGATAATATTTCAATAAAATCCTATTCGATCGTAAGTTTCGTTCATCTTCTCTCCACTTCCTATTGCAGGCTTTTTAAGGTGAATCAGTTTCTGGTCTATGTCCAAGGATAATCGCTTCCTTCTATGTTGCTCTTAGTTTTTCTAATATATGAAGTTGTCAACGACCATCCTCTTATTTTACATAGAGACGATCTTCTCTGCTTCTTCAAGAAAGACCTCCTATGCATGCATGCATTAGCCATTCAATTATATATCATGCAAACACATATTTCCAATTACTATGTTCATGTTAATCATGACCAAATTTCATATTCAAAAGGATTTGAAACTTTATCAACTCCCTCTCTAAGAAAGAAAAAGCACACAGAGGAGAAATTCTAGAAGTACATGTAGTTGCATGATTACCGTCTCCAAAACCAACCAAACAGCTTACCCATCGGACATACCATCTTTTCAGTCGCGGTATTTGGAAACGTTTTTCATTCGGGCCACATTATTGAGATCACACCAACATTCTTCTCCCTCGGTATCAGCCTGTGACAATGAATCACACATATGCAGGAATATGGTTAGGAAGTTTCAGCAAAATCGATGTTCCTGGAAAGCGAGAACAAAACCAATCTAAAGAAATAAACAACGCAAATCCTTCACTCATAGTACAGAAACAATTAAAACATATACCCAAAGTGGGAAGGACCTACTGAGCAATGGTAATAAAGTCCATTATGCCGATGTTGGGTTGAACTCGTAGGTGGCAAACTTGGAAACTGTCATTCAAACACAGATGCAAAATTAAGTTTGACATATCTCTAATATATTTTATTAAACTTACATCTGTGGACTCGATAACCTGAGAGGGAATTTCCATAATAGGGACTCCACCAACGAAATAAAGTTTCGAGCTAAATACTATATAACCTGCTGTCATGGAACTACTGCTTTGGAGTTCCATGGAGAACGAACTGAGTTCCACCTCGAACCCCTCTTACTTCTCCTTTGCAGTTATATACCAGAGAGGAGGTGGAAATGGGAGCTGGGAACCCTGAAGGGTCATAAGATTCTAGCTTTCTCCATTGATTCCCGGTAGGAACATAATGCAGTCTCTGTAGATGGAGAGATCGGCTTCCACAGCTTAGCTGCAAAGAACAAATAATGAAATAAATCAGGGTTCTTTTTGACAACCATCATTAGTAGGAAAATATAAAAAAACACTAAGAGTGGTAATTAAAAGTAGTAACATGTTGGAAGAGCACCAGAAGCATGCTGTATTTTTCAAATAAGACAATATTGTATCCATCCAGTTCAATGAGTTGAGCAAGGGGAAGAGTTTCGGCAAACTCAGACCATAACGTGATTGACATAGAGGCTTTGATGCAAGAAGAACACATCGCATCATTCAGCAAAATAACACAGAAGAAGGAAAGAAGCAGAGATCGGTTGTGAAGGAAGTGTTGAAATTAAAATACAGGATCTGGTCATTGGAGCAAGGCGCCCAGCGCCTTCTGGATTCACGCTGAACAAACTGTGTGACTAGTTGTTTGGGCGCAACCCCTTGCACCAGAACACCCTAGGAAAATTACCCAAAAGTAAGAATGAGAAAGGAGAGGCATACCCAACCGAAGGGAGGTAAGAAAGGATGAAAGAACTGACAACATCATCGGTCCAAAGCATCGAGAACTCAAAGAATCCATCGGGTCGCGCGGGAGTCTCAGATGTTTATGGAGGAGCCACAATTTGATGGTCGAAGCTTTGTCCGTCCACGTCGAAAGGACGACGTGCAGCAGGTTGGCAAGTGAGGTGGTGTGAAGGAGCTGGCAAACTGAACCAGCGGTGCCGAAAGGTGGGAACGGTGGTTAACGATTATAGGAGAAGGTTGAGGCAATTTGGAGAGGAGCAAACCAGAGGTGGAGAAAACCAAAAGGTAAGAGGAGATAGAGACGATTTGGAGAGGAGAAAGCTGGAGGTCGCTGGACCACTAATCGAGAGGGGCAAGGACACAGACCTACAATTGGTAGGGGGTAGCGTGTCCAGGAAAAACGGGAATGGCGTACAGACCAGAAAACCATGGTCCCCGTGAAAGAGGTGAGGTGAGTTCGGCGTGGTATCAAGAAAGGACAGCAGGGCGACCCACAATCGTGGACTTTGCAGCAAGGCGATATAGGTTCGCGTACAAAAGGAGAGAGTTTGATTGGACCGGGGCTGGGCAGCAGCTACACGGAGGTGATGGAGACCGAATTGGCGGAGGCGAGACCATGGCGGTGGGCAGACGGCACGGAGGTAGGCCATAGTTGGGAGATGGAAGAGAGACCAAAGGGCTTTTCAGTAGCCGACAAATAATGAAACAGTAGTTTGAAGTTTGGGCCAATAAAGTGTAGCCCGCTTTTACATATAAGATAATATAATTGTTGTATCTTGGTAGGAGTGTCTCGACCTGATTGCAGATTTGAGGAGGTTTTATCCAAGCATCAGTTAAGTGATCATGCACATTCGAGCTCTCTACTCTCTAGATTTTCCGTTCTCCCTTATTTCTATCTTCCAGTCTCCCGATCATTGTCTCTGAATCATGTATGGTTAGTGATAGTAGAGTTTATTAATTGTCCCTATTCCACTGAGGAAGGTATTTATTTGCTTGGAGGGTGAGTTTTTGGGTCTCCTTCTAATTTTTTAGTATCTTGCTATTTTACCTCCGTTTACAGGTGGCCTTCCATGACCAAGAACACAAGCTGCTTCCTGGGTTTCCGCTGGATGTACCTTAAAGAGCTAATTCTACCAGGTAATTTTGCATTCTATTGGTTTCCATCCCATATTCTTTCCCTCTCGTGGATAACCTTAGTATTATTTCTGGGTATAACTTTTCACAGCTTCTCTCAGACTTGAATTGCAATGATTTAAAATTTCTAGGGTATTTGGTTAAGTGTTTTACTGTGATATGGGATGTGATAGGTCAAAAGCGTATAGCTTCAATTCCTATCTTGTAGTAATCCGGAAAGTTCGGGTATCGTCTCTCAGGGACTGGTACAACCTTAAGTTCTATCAATTTTGTAGAGCAAACTATAGGTGAAAATGGTTCAATGAGATTATTAACTACTAGCAAAATAAATAAACTAATTAAGCAAAGTAAAATGGTCGGGAGAAATTCAATGGAGAAAGCTCTGGGAGAAACACCGGGATTCACTACCTATCCTATTCAGATTTATTCACATATTCCAATCAATTTAATCCATATCTCTACAGCCAGGATATCACTACTGTGATAGCTATCCCTGTCAGTAACAGGAGAAAAAAGCAGTCAATGGGCCTCGGCCCAATTCTCCTTTTTTTGCCGCCCAAATCTCATTCTGCCCAGCTCTTCCAATTCCTTGTCCACCAAATAGAATTTCATGGGCATGGCCCAGAATAAATGGCCGCCTATTTGCCTGTCCCAGCACAGCAGGTCCAAAAGCCTCGCTCCTTTTTCGTGCTTTCTCCACCTGTATCATATCAAACTCATGGCACTATGCAGTAATGGTTTTTCAACCATTCTCGGGTTAGCGAGCCCTAAAATAGCACCAATTGGCTAAAACATACCACGGATAATCACATAAAGTCCAAGAATTCGATATATTAAAGCCGAATATCACAACCCACACTCAATTTTTGCTTGTCCCTAAGCAACGACTCAAACAACACAAACACATAACCAACCATAACAACGACACATTACAGACTCAACACTCAAAACAAAACACAAAATTTCCTTGTACTCTTGTTGTAATCAGTAGTTTCTTTCTCAATGGACAAGCTGTGCTTTATTGATCATACCCTTTCACCCCACACTCAAGTTCTTTGCAACCCTTTACCATTGACTGACTCAAATCCATCCAAAAACTCAAATAGCAACACTCAAATTCGATCGTCGGTAGTGGGTGATTAACAACTTATGATGCAACAGTTATTAGGAGAATCTAACCACATAGTGAGGTGCATATCTCGTGAGGACAATCTGGCTTATTCACACCAATAATAAGCAATTAATTAAGCATGAGTCTCAAAAACAAATAGGGGAAGCCTTTCGCAAACATGATTTTACTTTAAGCACATCACTACCTTTTATGACAAGGAGAGGCTTTCTCTCTTTCTGCTTTTGCTTGCCGAGAAGTCGTATTTAGTACAAGGGGGATTTGTTTCTTACTACCGGCGACCGAGCAAGAGCAATTTCTGCTTCTTAGCACTCGCATAAGGGCTTCTTTTAACTCCTTTTCCTCGGTCCGTGTGGAGGGTCATTGCATCCTCAAATGGCACTTCACTCAACTGGGGATCATACTTGATAAGCAACATCGTACGGTCGCGAACCGATTCTCAATTGAATCTTTCCTCATCCCCATGTGAAATGAGTGATTGCCTCACACGATTTTGGCATTTTTACCCACACTTTAATTGTTATGGCAACTTTCTTATATTTTACTTGTCAGGTAGTGTTTTCTCATTTATAAAGATACAGTTCACCCCATCATAAAACATTCAAAACAGAGATACTCGTTGCAAAATCAAAAGCTCACAATTGATGCAAGTAAGCACGGTATCCAAACATGTCGAATGGTCAATGTTCTCCACCTAACTACTTCACCAAAAGTCATTACACTATCCTCACAAAAGAGAATGTTGCTAAAAGAGTTTGCTCATTCCAAGCATATCAAGTCAGTCAAAACATAAAGCTCATTGTGAAGAACCATGCAATTCAACACTAGTGGGGTGATTTTGATGATTTCATTCAAGCACAAACTCATTTTCAAGGCATCACGGTCATTTACATCATGTTACCACAAGAGTACAAGGTTTTGTTTTTAATTTTTTTGATTTTTAGGTGTTTTTTAGCCATTAGCTTTGCACAGGCAGCTTGCTTTTTACACAGGCAAACTGCATGCAGTTTGGCTGTGCTCAACCTAATGGAATTTTTTTTTATTTATACACATGACGAGACACTGTGGACAACTAAGACTCGACAAAAAACACGACAAGAACACAGACTATCCACCCCACACTCAGGATGGACATTGTCCACAATGTCTACAACTACACAAGACAAGCCAAGAGGTTCACCTAACTAACATTATTACAGACCATCATCATCACTATTCACAAAGAAAAGAAGAAAAGAAAAGAAAAGAAAAAGAAAAAAAACCTCGGGACAAGCTCCTATGAAGGAGGGGTCGATGAAGAAGTGCCGAGCTTCTCATCTAGACGCTGGTTTAGCTCCTTGATCTTCTTATCTTTCTCTGCGTCTCTGGCTCTGAGATCGTCTTCAGATGATGATGAAGCTGATACAACTGGTGGAGTAGCTACTGGCTGCGGAACTGAAGGTGCTTGTGACTGCTGGCCCTGGCTGACACTCGTGGCAGAGTGCCCTGCTGCTGCTGGTGATGGTGATGATGATGAAGCACCCAAAGGCATGGGTGTAGGAGCTGGAGTCGTGGTCGGAGTGACTACTGATGGTGCGGGAGATGATGCCGAAGCAGAAGTTGCTCTAGCAGCCCTTGCTGCCCTTTTCCGATTGACCTTAATCTCCCACTCCTTGTATTTGGCGATGGATAGATATTCACCACGAGATCATGCTTTCCTCAGAAAACCCAATTTGCCTAACGCTGATTCCCCAAGCAGAGTCAAGCCATCACTGATCTCCAAACCCGTAGGGTTCACTGGGAACCCCCAGTAAGCTCGAGCTAATGCAGTAATGATTCCCCCACACATAATTGCTCCGCAAGTTTTCAGTGCATCATTTTCAAGCATCTTACCCTCCATGTACCCAACACACAATGGTGTTCCAGTAACGAAACTGTGAATGTACCTGAGATCGGGTGTGTAGACACCACTGGCATTGGATCCCTTTCCCAAAACAGTGCGAGCCAGGTAGTCATGTACTAGTGGGATCACAGGGTCTCTGATTGATGCTCTCCTCGACGAAGTAGGATTGAAGTCCTTTCCATCTGCCACAATTGTCGTCCAAAACTCACTCAAGTTCTGCTTTTCATCTGGAATTTCATCTGCTGGACCATCGAAGAGAAGTGCTCGGTTTACTTGGCTCAAAGTGAGGGACTTGGTTTTCCCTGCCAAAGTACTCTGC